TGGATTTGCCGTGCTCATGTGGGGTCTGCCGTACTCCTGTGTGGTCTGCCGTGCTCCGGTGGTCTGCCGTGCTCCTTTGGGGTCTGCCTTGCTACTGTGGGGTCTGCCGGGCTCCTGTGTGGTCTGCCGTGCTCCTGTGGTTTGCCTTGCTCCTGTGTGGTCTGCCGTGCTCCTTTTGGGTCTGCTCTGCCGTGCTCCGGTGGGGTCTGCCGTGCTCCTGTGGGGTCTGCCGTGCTCTTGTGGGGTCTGCCGTGCTCTTGTGTGGTCTGCCGTGCTCCTTTGTGGTCTGCCGTGTCGCTGTGTGGTCTGCGTCCTCCTCTGTGGCTGCGTGCTCTTGGCTGGTCTGCCGTGCACTCTGTTATGTGAGTGTTGTCTTCTGTGGTCTGCGTGCTCCTTGGGTCTGCGTTGTTCGGCTTCGTCGTGAGGGCACTCTTAGGGCTTAGAGTGCCGTGTCCCTCGTCTTGGTCATCGTGTCCTCGTCTTTGGTCATCCTTTCCCTCTTCTTGGAGGGGGCGCTCTTGGGGCCTGCTTGGTCGTGGCTCCTCGTTCTTGGTTCCCCGTGCTCCTCTCGGTTCCTAAGCTGGTCTGCCGTGCTCCTCGTTCTTGGTTCTGCCGTGTCCTTCTCCGGTTCCTACGCTCGGTCTGGCCGTGCTCCTGTGGGAGCACGGCTGACCACCAGGGCACGGCAGGACCACACAGGAGCACGGCAGACCACACCTCGATTTTTTGAGGATGGTCTCGAGCGAAATGGCCGTGTTCTGCGTGCTCCACACGGGAGCACGGCAGACCACCTGCTCATTTTCTGAGGACGTCCCGAGCGAAAACGTCATTTTTAACATAAGAGGTTCTAAAACACCTCTGTCGGCATCTCATTTTTTCGAGGATGTCTCGAGCGAAACGCTCATTCTTCATGCATACAAAAATTTTTGATATTTTTCAACATGCCGATGTTTTGAGGATGTCTCGAGCGAAACCGTCATTTTTGACATAAGACGTCTTAAACGATAACCTCCAACACCTCGATTTTTCGAGGATGTCTCGAGCGAAATGGCCATGTTGGGAATCCCCAATGAAAACCCCCGGTGCAGCGGCGCAACCCATATAGTTAAAGATATATATATATATATATATATTTACTCAAGGATTCAGCCAGAACGTCCCGCTTGCTTCTCGTACCTCGAAGACGCTTCCCGTCATCTCGTGCAGCGCGGCAACCCATATAGTTAAAGAAAAGATATATTTACTCAAGGATTCAGCCAGAACGTCCCGCTTGCTTCTCGTACCTCGAAGACGCTTCCCGTCATCCGCCAGCGAATGATCCCGTGCGGCGCGGCAACCCATAGATATAAAGATATATATATATATTTACTCAAGGATTCAGCCAGAACGCCCCGCTTGCTTCTCGTACCTCGAAGACGCTTCCCGTCATCCCGTGCAGCGCGGCAACCCATATAGTTAAAGATATATATATATATATATATATATTTACTCAAGGATTCAGCCAGAACGTCCCGCTTGCTTCTCGTACCTCGAAGACGCTTCCCGTCATCCGCCAACGCCCGGCCGGGACGCAATCAGGAGCCCCATAGAAAGGTTTTTCCTTAAGAAAAACGGTCCATGCTCCTCGTTCCTCGTTCGCGCTTCCCGTCATCCGCCGACCCTGTCGGCGTGTGTGAGGGGCTTGTCCGTTCAAGTCGTCATCTCCATCATTCGTTGGTCGTCGTCTCTGTCGTCCCCTGTCCCTGCCTCCCCCCTGTCCCTGGGCTCGTCGAAGCTCCCCCCTTTCCCAGGGACCTCCTCAGCGCGCCAGCCAAAGCGAAGTTGAGCAACGTCGTAATTGAGTCGAAGGGAAGCCCCTTCCCTTCGATTCCTCCCCCGCCGGGGGGGGGGGGGTTGTCCAGGGGGGGTCCCGAGTGGGGGGGTCAGATACGCCCCTCCTGGGAGTCCCGGAGCCCAAAAAAGCCCCAAGACGGGCCAAGAGTGCCCCAAGAGGCCCCAAAGACAGTCCAAGAGAACCCCGAATCGCCGAACGATCTGTCCAAGACGCCTTGACGGCCTCCAGACGGCCCCAGAGGCCTGCAAAGCGCCCTAAGAGGCCTCCAGGAGCTGCCACAAGAGGCAAAATATATGGAATTCCCATACGTTTTTGAAAGATTTCGGCGTTCCTGCCTGTTCCGCTTCCCGACGCGCCAAGACGACCCCCCCGAGGCCCCAAAGATCGCCCCGAGACGACCCAAGAGGCCCCTAAGAGGGTCCCCTAACGGCCGAAGAGGGCCCCAAGACAGCCCTAGACGCCTCCAAGACAGCCCAAGAAGCCCCCAAGACGGCTCCAGGAGAGTGCCCAGACGGGAGACCCGGACATTTCGAGCTCTCAACCCCAAGAGGCCCACAAGAGGCCCCGAAGAAGCCCCAAGAGGCCCCAAGAGGCTCCCAAGGGGCCCCCAAACTGCCCCAAGACAGCCCAGTAAAACCCCAAATTGCCCAGGAGGCTTCCAAGAGTGCCTCGAGACGGCGCAAGAGGAGCCCTGAACGGCCCAAGACGGCCTCAAGAGAGCCCCAGGCTGTCCCAAGAAAGCCTCTGGCCTCCTCCTCTTCCTCATCCTCCTCCTCCTCCTCCTCCTCCTCCCCTCCTCTCCTCCTCCTCTCCTCCTCCTCCTCCTCATCCTTCCTCTCTCTCCTCCTCCTCCCCTCTGCTCCCCCTCCTCCTGCTCTCCTCTGCCTCCTTTTCATCCTCTTGCTTCTCCTCCTCATCCTCCTCACCCCTCCTCCTTCCTCATCCACCTCCTCCACCCTTCCTCCATCTCCCAGCCATCCTCCTCCCTCTGCCCCCCCCCACTCGTTCCATCTTCGTCGTTCTCAGGGTCGGCGGCACCGGCCGTAAGGCTTTCGCAATATGCGGCCGGTGCCGCCTCGCTCGGCGGCGAAAATTTCGCGAGATTTCCAGAATGGAGACGGCGCCCGTCGCTGATCACGCCCCCTGATCCATGCTTGCGATCGCCTGGGGATGGGAGAAGGCTGTCAGGATGAGGGTGGCTTAGAGTTAAGTCGGGCGTGTCCCCTACAGGCGGACTTGGACGACACATGGAAAACAGTCCAAACATACTCAAGCATAGTCTACAACAGTCGGAAAAAAAGCGTCCCAAGGCTATGGTTTACCATGTTTGGATATTCCTCCTGTGGAAGGACAGGCCCGACTTAAGCTTAGAGGTCGCGACCCATCGTGGGTTCGGCCACGAGGCTTGAGGGCGTGGGTTCGGTCGTGACTCGTTGGGCCTGCGGCGCGTACCGCGCGCCTCGGGGGCAGAGACCCCAGGCTCGGCAAAGGCTGCAGGGGGGCACCCCGCGGCCCACAGCACGCGTGCGAACGTACAGCCATCGGCCTGACCCAAGGAACGATACATAAGGAACGAAGCCCATTTTCGTCCGAGGAATGGCGCACAGGGAACGATCTACAATCAATGACGCACGGGGAGCGGTGAATAACGCACGCAAACCTCACGAACGACCGAGCCCAGTTTGAAAAGTAAGTGGTCCTTACCTTGTCAAGCCGCTCACTGTACCGCGCGTCGCGGGGCAGAAACCCCAAGCTCGACAAAGACTGTCATGGGCAGCACGCGTGCGAGTGTAGAGGCTCACATCTCTCGTGCCGCGCGTGCCCTTCACCCACGCACAGGTCACCCCTGCGGGCCTGTGCGATCGCGCGATCGCACAGCCTGCTCTGGTGTGCACCGTTGCAGGGGGCGTCGTGGTGTGCTGGAAGTGTGCGTTGCTGTCTCATGTTACCCGCAGCAGTGCAGTTCCTGTTCACCTCTGCAGAGGCGTTTGGTCACCAGACGCCACTACATCGCTCAGGACCTCCTCCTCCCAGGATCCGTCGCTAATGCTAGAGGCCTCCTAGATGGGGTCCGAGTAGATGGGGTCGGAGGATCGCGCCGCATCACCGATGCATCGGCGATGCATCGCCGATGCATCGGTGATGCATCGGCCACGACGGCGATGCCTCGGCGCCGTCGGCGTGGGGAAAGTCGGGCTCCATATCGAGCAGCATCGCCGATGCATCAGCGATGCGGCGCGATCCTCCGACCTCATCTACTCGGACCAGATCCAGGAGGCCTAGATCATCGCTCAGGACCTCCTCCTCCAAGGACCCGTCGCTAGTGCACGCGCCTTAATCCATGATCGCGCTTCCTCAACAGGTCTGCCTGACTCCTCTAAGGGCGACGCTAGGGGGGCCCGGCTCCAGGGGGGGAACGTCGACCTGGAAGATGCATCCCCCTTAACGGGCGAAGAACGGTATAAAATAAACTTTCCGCCGTCGGAGACACCTGCCCCAGGGCGGCTGGAAAGCTTATACCCCTACGGTGCCACCGTAGGGGTATGAACTTTCCAGCCGCCCTGGGCAGGTGTCTCCGCGGCGGAAAGTTTATTGTTATTGTGTTCTTCGCTCGTGACCCCCCCGAGCCTATCAACCCCCCAACGTCGACCCTGAATCCCCCAACCCGTCCCGCCCGCCCCCTCCCGCCCGTTCTCGCCCTCCCCGCGCCCCTGCATCCCCCCCCCTGAGCCGATCCTCCCCCCAACGTTGCCCCTAACTTTGGGTCGCGCATGTCGTCCTACAGGCGGATTCAAGATGAAGAAACCAAAAACAGAGTCAAAACAAATGCAAACGTAGCAGAGAGTCGTCGCAGAACCGTCCCCGGACTATCTTCGAGCTGCTCTTGCATTGTTGCCCTCCTGTCGGCTACACGCAGGAGTGACCCTGGGTAAGAGTGACCTTTGGTGCGCGGTTCATTGGGGGCCGCGGGGGGACCAACCTCGAGCGCGCAAGACGCTGGTACCGCATCGCGTTCGGCGATCGAGGGGCCCCCTTGGGCCCGCACCAAAGGTCACTCCGGCGAAAGGTCACTCTTACGTGTGGTCGATCATGTACAGGGACACACGCCCGACTTGACCCGGACTCCTGCGTCCCGCTCGCTCCCCGCGCCGCGCCGGCCCCCGGCCTCCGCAGGCGCACGTCGCGGAACCAGCCCATGCGCCGCACCAGCTGCGTGGTGGACGCCTCCTCCGCGGCAGCAGGGCGTCGACGGGGCGGCGAAGGGGAGCGGCAGCGGGGCGGCCGCGGGGCGGAACCCGGGGAGGACGGACGGAGTAGGCAGGGAGAATCGAGCTCTGCACGCCGACGCTCCTGCCGGCCCCGCCTTGGAACGTCTGCACTGGGGAGCGGCTCCTGGTGTATACCGGGCCCTGGTGTATGCACTCTTCGCTGTTTCCCCGGGACATCGGGAGGACGGAGGAGTGTCGGGCCGGGCGAAAGGGGGGGGGATCGCAAAGGGGGGGTGAGAATCAGCTCGCGCAGCTGATTCTCCCGGCGCCTCCCGGCGCCGGGAGGCGCCCATATGAGTCGAGGAATGGGCCCGACGGCGGGGCCGAAACCAGCTGCATGCAGCAGATTTCGAAATCCCATATTTTCCCTACATCCCCCCCTTTCGTTCGGCCCGAGCAGCGGGGCGGAACCCGGGGAGGACGGAGGAGTAGGGGAACGAAGGATGACACAAACATTAAAACTCGGAGGTCCGCGCGAAATTCTCGGATCGGCGCTGGACCACCTCCCTGGCGCGCGGAGCGCGCCAGGGGCGGCGCCGGAGGCGCCGCCAGGCGGGTCCAGCGCCGATCCGAGAAATCCGCGCGGACCTCCGAGTTGTTGTGTTTGTGTCGTTCTTCGTCCCCCTAAGATTAGGTCGGGCATGTCCCCCTAAGGTTAGGTAGGGCATGTCCTCATGTTCCAAAAAGATTCACAAATAAACAAAATAATAGGAAAATCGTCCCCATACAGTTAATCAGCTATTGCTGAATACTCCTCCTGTAGCGGAACATGCCCGACTCGACCCCAAGGGAGGACGGAGAAAGGGAGGACGGAGAAGGGAAAGAGGACGGAGGAGGACGGAGGGAGGACGGAGGGAGAGAGGACGCAGGAAGGGGGGGACGGAGGAGGGAAGGCCGGAGGAAGAAAGCAGGCACGGCGAGGCGCCGGGCTCAACGTCCCAAGGGGGACGGCCCTGCAGGAGCCCCGGGGGGCGCCGGAGCGCTGGTGGGTCGCTCGCGCGTCGCTGCCGGCGCGGACGAAGCAGAGCGTGCGTTCCAGGACGAGTCCTGCGGCATTCTCCCAGGAAGGGAGGGCCGACTGCAGGGAGGGAGGGAGGGCCGGAGGGGCGGAGGGAGGGGGAGAGAGGGGTCCTGGATGATGCGGCCACGTCGGCTGCTCGTAAGACCCAAGGCAGCGTACAAGCTCGTCGAAACCACCCGCACCCTGGAATTTTGTCTGACAGGCTCCGTTTTGCTGTATGTGCTGGGCCGTTGCCCATTACATTTTCGCGTGTTGTGGTACCTACCACCGCCCGCGGGGAAATGCGACCACTCCTGGGCTGACTGCTTCAGCTGGCTGCCGAGATGCGCAATAGCCATACGACGCACATGATCACAAACCCGGCCCAGCGTGATACTTCAGTCAAGGGCTGAACCTAAACGGTGTTTTCCGTTTTCGTTTTGCTTTCGTTTTCCCTCGTTTTGTCTTCAATCCGCCTTTACCGCAAAACGCAATCGAAACGAAAACGGCCCACGAAATCGCCCAAACACCGTTTAGGGCCACCCCTGCTTCAGTGTGTGGCTCGGGCGGCTTCACCGCCCAGCGCTGTGAAGCAGGAGCCGGGAGCATCGATGTGCTTGGACGTTTGGAAAGCTCTGGCCCGCCTCAAAGTGGCCTCCGGAGAACCCTGATTGTGGGCGGCCAAGAGGGGGGCGTCCAAGAGGGGAGGGGCCCTGGGACACACAAATAAATACATGCAAATAAAAGGATCCCCCATATTTTCCTGTAATTGTTTGCTTTCTGTCTTCCCCCCCCACTTCCCATATGTTCCCATACTTTCTGAGGAATTGACGACTCATTGTGTCTGTGTGTTCCTCTCCCTCCTGAAAGAGGGGAGGTGGGGGGGGGGGGGGGGGGTGGGGGGGGGGGGGGGGGGGGGGGGGGGGGGTGGGGAGGGGGGGGGGGGGGGGGGTGGGGGGGGGGGGGTGGGGGGGGGGGGGGGGGGGGGGGGGGGGGGGGGGGGGGGGGGGGGGGGGGGGGCAAATTCATGGCGGGCTGCACGTGCGCGCCCCCGGGGGGGGAGGGGGCCAGAGATGTAATGACACGAGAAGAGGCGCCGTGAGGTTCGGCGAAACATCATGGCCCACGCCACGACATCCTCCACCCCCCGCCCCCAAGGCATCACCCCCCTCTTTGCCGCCCCCGAGAGGAGGAGGAGGAGGAGGAGGAGGAGGAGGAGGAGGAGGAGGACGAGGGGAGGAAGACGAGGAGGAGAAGGATAGGAGGCGTGATGAGAGGGGAGGAGGAGGTAGGAATGGAGGAGGAGGAGGAGGAGGAGAGTAGGATGATGAGGAGGGGGTGAGGGAGGGGTTGAAGAGTGGGAGGGGGGGGGAGGTGGGAGAGAGGAGGTGTAACGATCCCGTAGTCATCACCCCCCTCTTCGCCCCGCCCCCGACCCGAGGGGCCCTCTTGGGACCTCCAGGGGCGAGAAGGGGACAAGGGAGGCCCGTACCAACGGCTGCCGAGCTCTGACGCGCCCACGTGCCGATCCCCCGAAGGAGTCGCTCCGCGTCCCTGCCGCCCCCATCCCTCCTCCTCTCGCCCCCCTCTCGTCCTCGTCGGCCCCTGTCCCCCCCCCCCCGCCCCCATCCTCCCCCCCAGGGAGGGGTGACGTAGGAGGGGACAGGCTCAGGGGACGAAGCATCAAGTCTGAATCGGCGATACATCGCCGATAGATCTTCGACAGGCCCCTGATAGCGAAACCGCGCGTACCTGGGCGGGATCGGGCCCCTGTCGACGATGAACAGACGATTGGGGGTCGATTCATCCACCCCTGAGCATATCCCCCCTTAACGTTGCCCCTGACTCCTACCCATCCCACCCGCCCTCTCCCACCACCCTCGCCCTCCCCGCGCCCCTGTGCCAGGGCCAAGCGTTGCGGGGGGCGCGCGTGGAGAGGGGAACCGCCCCGAGGCACGCCCCCTCGGCGCGCAACCCCCCCCCTTCCGGTGCGCAGAGCCAACCCCCGACCCCTCCCCCGTCCAGCAGCTCGAGGGTCAGCTTGGCCACGTTGACGGACTTGTCGACCGCCTCTGGGAGGAGGGGTGCTCGGCATCGAATCGGGAAATGGGGCAGGATCAGCCAGCATCAAGCCGGGGAGTCGGATCCAATCGGAGTGCGCGTCGGACCCGGCTGCATCGGCACGGAGTCAAGACCGTCTGCGCCAGAATGCACCGTAGCGCCATGCGGGCATCGGGCCGCATCGGATCGTCGGAAATCGTACCGGGTCGAAATGGCCGACACCGATATCGCATGGGATCGACCGGAGCGAAATGGACCCTGGACGGACGGACGGCCGGACGCCGGCGCATGGCTCCGCGAGGGAGCTGCCGGGGGGAGGAGCCTAAGCCCACTTACCTGTTGATGCACTCGTCCTTCAAGGTATCCCAAGCCAGTGATTGTGCCATTTGTACCCAATCTCCGTGGCCAGTAGCTGTCTGCACATGTTGCGTGCTATCGTCTGCCCAAGGAGTCTCTGGGCGTCCCGGACGTCCCCGACGTCCCGGACGTCGCCGAAAGGGACCCCGGTGGGGGAAAAGCAGGCTGCGGCGGGGCGCACAGCGGCACGAGCAGGGAGGTGCCGAGAGATCCGAGGGCAGCGCCGCCGCGCCTCGCACAGCTAGAGGGCAAAACATCCACCCCGATATAATGACCACCCCGGCACGCGAGGCCGTTTAGTAAACGCACCCGAAGCAGAAATCAGACAGAGCAGGGCTGTTTGGTAAACGCCCAGGGCCGTTTAGTAAACGCCAATTGACGGGTCCGGGTGGTTTTCCCCCCCTTGAAATAGCGGCACGGCCACGGCGGGGATGTCTTTTGCTCCGCGTGTCGCGGCCAGGGACCCCTGCGGCCCTGCAAGCGGATGCACAGCGCTGCGCCCCGGAGCTGCCAGACTGCCTGCCGCTCCTTCGCCGACCCGCGGAGCTGCTGCTCGCGGTGCCGCCCTCCAGACACAGCGCCCTGGGCCTCGTCCACCCTCGCCTCCTCCTCCTCCTCCTCCCTCCCTCCCTCCCTCCCTCCCCCCTCCCTCCTCCCTTCCCTCCCTCCCTCCCCCCTCCTCCCTCCTCCCTCCTCCTCCCTCCCTCCTCCCTCCCTCCCTCCCTCCCTCCTCCCTCCTCCTCCCGCCTACCCTCCCTCCCTCCTCCTCCCTCCTCCCTCCTCCCTCCTCCTCCCCCTCCTCCTCCCTCCTCCCTCCTCCCTCCTCCCTCCTCCTCCTCCTCCTCCTCCTCCTCCTCCTCGGAGCTCGCCCCCCCCCCGACCTCGGGAGTCGGGACTGGCGTGTCGCTAGCTCTCCAAGCTTAAGCCTGGCTGCCAGACGCAGGAAGACTGCAATGATTCATCATCCGCCTCCTCTCCAAACCTGTGACGCCGTCTCTCTGTCTTGCGGTCCAGGCCCTCGGGGCCTGGGATCCGTCCCGGACTGTTTCTGCCGGTGGTCCTGAAGCTGGGGTCCGAAACAGGCCCCCAGGCCCGATCTCGTGAAAGCTGGTGGTCGGCTGCTTCAGGGAGCTAGACCTGGACAGCCGACGTCCTGATGTTGACCCATGCGTGGTCCCCTGCAGGTGACTCGAATAGCAGAACAGCAAAGCACCGAACTGCAGGATGATAAGATGCTCCGTAGAGGATCCCGAAAGGCTCTTGAGAGCCTGGGAGGATCCGAAGAGGCCCCTGAGTGTGTCCTAAGAGCGTCCTGAGAGGCTCGGGAGAGGCTCAGGAGAATCTCTTGAAACGCTTTTAGGAAGCTCTTGAGAGGCTATTTGGAGGAGGACCCTCAGAGGCTCCGGAGAAGTTCCTCGAAGGCTCATGAGAAGCTCTACGTAGGAGTCTCACGAGAGTGTCCTGAGAGGGTCCTGAGAGGGTATTGAAAGGCCTTTGAGAGGCTCTTTCTAGCCTCTTGAGAGGCTCCTTGGGAGGCTCTTGATTGGCTTTTGAGAGGCTCTTGAGAGGCTTGGACGAATGCAAAGGTCTGTCTGGCAGGTTGATGTATTCGAAGAAGGCCCCTCCACCCTACTCGCGTCTGTTTGCATGCACCGCCCCCCATCCCGAGGTCACGATACCTTGTAAAAACCGACGGGTCTGCGTTCCTGACGCCACGATCCCTCGAAAAGAAAACAAGTGTGTCCCCGCGTCCCGAGCATCCAAGCAGGCAACCAAGCCAGGATAGCCCAATGTGCCTCGAAAACGGCCAAACATGCCTCCAAGAGGGCGCAAAAAGGCCACAAACAGACCTCCAAAAAGCTCCGAAGAAGCCAAATCCGTGATTGCGTGTTGATGTTTGAGTGATGTTCACATTGTAGCCTTTTCGGTTTTCCGTCAGCCCAGAACGGCCTTAGAAGCCTCCATGATGGTACCAAGACGACCCAAGAGGCCCCCAAGAGGCCCCCAAAATGGCCCAAGAGGCCCGACGAAGGCTCGAGCGGCATCTAAGACGGCCCCCAAGACGGTCCAACAGGGCCTCCCGTGGGACCCAAGACGGCATTCGAAGGTCATGCAACGGCCCAGGACGACCCCACGACGGCCCGTGACGTCGAGCAGCGGACCAAGAGGACCGCAAGCGGAGTCGTTCTGAGAGCATGGAGGCTTGCAGTTGCAGAACGACGGATGAAGCAGATCAAGCTCGAGTGCAGGAAGGACACCTCCAAGTGAGCCTGGCAGCAGGTGCCGCCGTGCCCAAGTGCACCCGTTCTGGGGACAGCACAAGGTACCGATACCGCTACTCCCCGGACCTCTCGCGGGGTGCGTTCTGACAAGAATTTAGAAGCGAATCCAGCGGTGGCGACGAGGGCCTCCCAGGAGGCCCAAAAAGGGGAAAACGGGCGACGGGGTAGAGGTATGGGTACCTTTTCCTCCTCTGACGTTCCCCGCGCGCCCGCCCGAGAGCGCCGCAGAGGTTTTGGCCCGGATCGCGGCGGAGAGCGCCGCGAACCCTGCGCGAGTCGAGGCCAGCGCCGCGGTGCAAGCGCCCCCTCGGCCGGGACTGCCCGCCCGCGGGCCGCGGCTCGGGCCCCCGCCGGCCGCGCCGGCCGCGCGGGACCCGGGGCGGAGCTCGGGAGGCGATGCCCCGTCCTCCTCCCACCAGCGCGCGCGTGGGCGCGCGCGAACCGGATAAGGAGGGGGGAGGAGGAGGAGGAGGAGGAGGAGGAGGAGGAGGAGGAGGAGGAGGAGGAGGAGGAGAGGATAAGGATGAGGATGAGGAGTAGAGAGGAGGAAGGAGAGGAGGGGAGGAGGAAGGAGGAGGAGAATGAGAAGGAGAGGAGGAGACGACGGAGCGAGACGGACGACGGACGACGGGACCGACCGGACCGAGACGGACGCGACGACGGACGACGGACGACGGACGACGGACGACGGACGACGGACGACGGACGACGGACGACGGACGACGGACGACGGACGACGGACGACGGACGACGACGACGACGACGACGACGACGACGACGACGACGACGACGACGACGACGACACGCGCGCGGCGGGCACCCTCTCTGTGCTGGGGCCTTCGTGCTCTTGGCCTCGAGGACCTGGGCAAGCTGCTCCTGCGAGACGTCCGGCGGGCCCTCCTCCTGTGGGCTCCCGCGGAGGTGGGAGTCCAGTTCGGATCGAAAGAAAAGCATCGCATCACCCCCCTCCTGCCTCCTCTCCTCCTCATCCTCCTCCTCCTCCTCCTCCTCCTCCTCCGCTCCTCCTCCTCCGTCCTCCTCCTCCTCCTCCTCCTCCTCCTCCTCCGCCGCCGCCGCCTCCTCCCTGCCCTCCTCCTCCCCTCCTCCTCCTCCTCCTCCTCCTCCTCCTCCTCCTCCTCCCTCCTCCTCCTCTCCCTCCTCCTCCTCCTCCTCCTCCTCCTCCTCCCTGCCTCCTCCGCCTCCTCCTCCTCCTCCGCCCTCCTCCTCCTCATCTCCTCCTCCTCCTCCTCCTCCTCCTCCTCCTCCTCCTCCTCCCTTCTACTTCGCCTCCTCTTCTCCTCTCCTCCTCCGAAAAGACTCCTACTCCTCCTCCTCCTCCTCCTCCTCCTCCTCACTCCCTTCTCCCCCTCCACCTGCCTCCTCCCCCTCCCCCTTCCACCTCCCCCCTCCCCCTCCCCCTCCCACGCCCACTCCCCCTCCCCCCGCCTCCTCCTCCTCCTCCTCCTCCCTCCTCCTCCTCCGCACGCAGCCGCCTCCTCCTCCGCCTCCTCCGCCTCCGCCTCCTCCAGCCGCCTCCCTCATCCTCCTCCTCCTCCTCCTCCTCCTCCGCCTCCTCTTATCCTCCTCCGCTCCCCCTCCTACGCCTCCTCCTCCTCCTCCTCCTCCTTCTCCTCCTCTTCTCCTCCCCGCCTCCTTCTCCCCCCGCCCCCTCCGACTCCTCCCGCACCCTCCCACTCCCCCTCCCCCTCCCACTCCCCCCTCCCCCTCCCACCTCCCCTCCGTCCTCCTCCTCCTCCTCCCTCCTCCGCCTCCATCCTCCTCCTCCTCACTCCTCCTCCGCCTCCGACTCCTCCCCGCTCCTCCTCCTCCTCCGCTCCTCCTCCTCCTCCTCCTCCTCCTCCTCCTCCCCTACGCACGTCCCCCTCCCCCTCCCCCTCCCCCTCCGCCTCCTCCTCATCATCAACAGACATACATCCACGCACACGACGCACACACACACACACACACACACACACACACACACACACACACACACACACACACAACACACAACACACAACACACAACACAACACAACACAACACAACACAACACAACACAACACAACACAACACAACACAACACAACACAACACAACACAACACAACACAACACAACACAACACACACACACACTTTTCTGTCGGCGGCGGGGCAGAGGCAATCCGCTCCAGTGGATGGCATCACACAACTAACATTAAGTCGGGCCTACCCCCCTACAGGGGGATCCAAAATGGTCCCCCGATTGTTTTGAACTATTTTGGAATATTCCCCCTGTAGAGGGACAGGCCCGACTTCAAACTAACAGCAGCAGACATACACCAATACACACGACGCACACACACACACACACCACACATACTTTTTCTGTCGGCGGTGGGGCAGAGGCAATCCGCTCCAGTGAGTGGCTATTCGGGGCAACCGAAAGGCGAATTGTCCGGCGTGCAAGAGGGAGCAAAAAGACGGCACCACACACACACACACACATCCTCCAAAAACAAGCCTCTGGGGACGTCTGGAACGACGATGTGAACGTTTCCCCTGCATCTCCCCGCCACCGGACGCGCCCACTCCGAAATTTAAGCCAAAACGAACCCCCTGAGAGGGGGCGATTTCTTGTTGCGGACCCAAGCCTCTGGCGACTCGAAACGACAGATAACGACTCGGGACGAAGAGGACGGCCCCAGGCCTGCGACTGAAGCCGCCGGCCCCCGCTAGGCTGGGGGTGAGAAGGCGTGTAAGATGATCGGCTGTCCCCCTCCCCCTTTCCCCCTCCCCCTGGGTCCAAGATCTCGTTTCAGGGGGGGGGGGTCTGAGCTCCTTGGCGCACCCCTGGAGACTCCAGAGCGTTTTCAAATCTGCCTGCCATGGCCTCACACACGTTCCAAGACGGGCCCGAATCGCCAAACGACTGGTCCGAGACGCCTGCGATGGCTCCAAGACGCTTTCGAGACCCCCCAAGAAAGGCCCACGAGCCTCCCCAAGAGGGTTCCGAGAGGCAAAAAAATATGGTTCCTGTTAGGGTTCTCATTGTTTCTGGGGTGTCGTCTTCTCAAGATCCCGAGGCCCCAAGACGGCCCAAGAGGCCCCGTAGACCGCCCCAGAACTGCCCCAGAGGCCCCGACGAGGGCCCCAGAACAGCCCAAGAGGGTTCCAAGACGGCCCGAAGAGGGGCCGCCCAAAATGGCCGAAGATCGCCCCAAAAGGGTCCCAGGAGAGGCCAAGAAGGAGAACACAAACCGAAAATCCTACCTTTCCGCCCCAAGAAGACCCCAAAGGCCTCAAGAAGCGCCTAAGCGGCCCAAAAGAGGCCCTCAATAAGCCCCAAGAGGCCCCAAAGAGACCCCAAAAAGGCCCCAGAACGGCCCCCAAGACTCTTCGACACTGCCTCCAAGAGACTCCACCATGCCTCCAAAGGGCCTCCAAGACGCCTTCCCCGCCTGTTCTGGGGGTCGGCGGAACGGCGGAATTAAGCCTCTTGAACAGAAGAACCTCATGCTGTGATAGGGGAATAAAAAGTGACATCAACATAATGAATAACTCGGAGGTCCGCGCAAATTCCTCGGATCGGCGCCAGGGGTTCCCGAGAAATCCGCGCGGACCTCCGAGTTCTTATGATTATGCCACTGTTATTCCCCTATGCAAGCCTCTTGAACAGAAGACTCTCCCAAAAGAGAAACTGCGAATCAGACCGAACACAAAGCGCCCGAGGCCTGGGGGCCACGACGGAAGGCCGAGGGCACCCCGAGAGGGCGCAGGACCCCTCCGGAGGGAAGACGCGGCGCGAGCAGGCCGGAGGGCACGCGGTGCGGCAGGCCTTGAGCTCCTCGAGGGAGGTCTGCGGGCGGGCTCCCCGAGGGCCTCGGGGCCAGGCGCGGAGCAGGGCACGCCCGTGGGTGGCCGTTCCACGGCGCCCAGCCCCGAGGCCCCCCCCCCCCCCCCGAAGGCCTCCAGGGGTCCCGGAAGAGAGCTGGGTGGTGCCAGGAGTGCCCCTGGCCCAGGGTGCCTCCACGGCCTCCAGAGCAGCCCATCACGAGGCCCAAAGGGGCCCCAGGGGCTCCAGAGTGGAGCGAAGAGCTGGGGGCACCTGTGGCCGGGGGCACCTGTAGCAGCCCCAGACCGAGAGACGCCCAGCACCAAAAAAACTGCCCTCGACTCGGCCCCGCGGGTGCCCCGCCCAGGGGGGGGAGAGGGAGAGGGGGGCCAGCCTCCTGAGAGGGCGGGGGACCGCGAAGCCCAACCCGCAAAAAAAAAGGCAGGCGGGCCACCTTAGGGGGCCACATGCGAGCCCTGCCCCTGCCCCCCACGATTTCTGAGGGGGAGGGTGGGGTTCACTTCGTTCGGGAGCTCCAGAACGAAGTGAACCCCACCCTCCCCTTCAGAAATCGTGGGCCGGGGTAGGGGTAGGGTTCGCATGTGGCCCCCTACACCTCAGTCCTGGGACCGAGACGGGCCGCCGCCCTCCCCGGGCTGGCCCTGGGCCGGGCTCGGGCTCGGCTCGGGTGGCGGGGGGTGCCCGCGCGGCAACGCCGCCCGGGGCGTCCAGCCGCAGTCGAAGGAGTGGGAGGCGTAGGAGGAGGCGGAGGAGGAGGAGGAGGCCCTGAGTTGTGGATGGGGGGGGGGGGCAGGGTGCTTTGCAACTGCGGCGGCGCCGCTGGGGGCGGACGCGCCAGGCTCGGCACACCCTCTCGGCCTCCTGGCCACGATCGAGTGCAGTATATATGTTCTTACCAGTGTGACAGCTGCTATGTCTCCAGCGGGAGACTTGCTCGTCTCGTTGACTTTCTCTTCCTGGGGAGGCCGTCCTTCGCTCGGCGGCGGGCCACGGGGAGGAGCGGGGAGGAGCTCGGGCTCGGCCTGGGGGGGGGGGGGAGCGCGTCTCGGGCCCAGGGGTTGCCCGGAGAGGAGCTGGGAGGAGAGACTGGCTCTGGTCAAGAGGCCGATCTCGGGGGACCCCGCGTCCCAAAGAAGAAGAGTGCGGCATCGGAGGTTTGGGTCTTCTGTCGGCGGCGAGCGAGGGGGGAAGTGAGAAGGGGCGGGCCTTCTCAGACGGCTCGGAAGGCCCCTGGCCTCCTGAGAAAATTTCCAAGCCTTCCCCGAAGGCGCAGGAAAAAAACCTCTCGGAAGGGCTTCCGAGAGGCCCCGTCGCCCTCCGAGAAGGCCTTTTCCATCTCACTTCCCCCTTTGGCTCGCCGCCGACTCGTGGGCGGCTGTCATTACGTGTTATTCCGACGAGAGCACGACCAGGCATGGCCGCGAGGATTGCTGGCTTGGGGTACAGTGGGGGCCCGACCACAAGAAACCTTCCACAAGAAACCCGACCCTGAGACCCCAGGAGGAAGTTCATTGATTTTTTGACTACCTACCAGACCACCCCAACCCAACCCGAAGACCCGAATTTGACCCGAATTTCGGGTTGGGGGGTACGGATTCCATGTGTTTTCTCAACGTTCCCCGACCCCCCCCCCCACTGGAAATCGAGGATAAATTGAGGCCTTCGGGTTGGGTTGGGGTGGTTTGGTGGGTGGTGAACGTCGCGCTCTCCACGGCAAAACCATCGAAGTCCGAGAAACCCAGGGCACCCTGGAGGCAAGCGGGGTGCTGCTCGGCATGTGCCGGCATGGGCCTCCGCCGTAGGGATGCAGGGAGGAAGCCAAACACAAAACAAACAAAACAAACAAACAGACAAACAAACAAACACACAAACAAACAAAACAAAACAAACAAACAAACAAACAAACAGACAGACAAACAAACAAACCAACAGAAAGACAAACAAACAAACAAACAAGAAAAACGTGGGCGGCTGGCATTTCCATCGGCGGTGGACAAACCCCCCTTCAGTGGACCTCCCTGTAGTGAAAGCGGCCCGGGACCGAAACCGACGGACCTGGACCCGCCAAAAGAACGGCCGCGACGCCCTCCCGCGAGCCGACGACGGCCAATTCGCTAATCGACGTGTCAGGGTAGGAGGCCAATCAACCTCCGTTCCCGGCGGTAACCAAGGTTGACGGTTTACCGCCGGCTTCCAGTTGGCTCGAAAAATCTCGACGGAAGTGTTGCATAATTTCGGTCGGTTAGAAATCAATTTCTCGAAATTCAAACGTTCGTGAGGGCTCTAATTTCAAAACAAAACAAACCAACAAAAAAAACGTGGGCGGCTGGCATCGTTCCGGGCGGCCCTCCAGGACGATCCTGGCACAGCCGGCACGCTCTGGGCGAGGCGCAGCCGCATCGCCGGTGCATCGGCGACGCGGCGCGATCCTCCGACCCCGTCTACTCGGACCCCAGCTGGGAGGCCTAGATGCGTCCGCGGCCCCGACGTGCCGCACCCCACAACCCCCCCACCCCCCCAGGCGCACCGCCGAGAGCGGCCGCGCCCCCGGCGGAGGTCCTGCGGCGGCTTCTTGCGCTTCTTGGGCATCGCCTCGCCCCGAGGGGGAGGGCATCGGGCGGCGCCAGCAGGCCATCTCGGAGACGGAGCGAGGGGGAGGAGCGAGGGGGAGGAGGAGGAGGAGGAGGAGGAGGAGGAGGAGGAGGAGGAGGAGGAGGAGGAGGAGGAGGAGGAGGAGGAGGGGGACGAGGAGGAGGAAGGTGAGGAGGAGGAGGAGGAGGAGGAGGAGGAGGAGGAGGAGGAGGAGGGGGTCAGCATCGGGCAGCGTCAGCCGAGCGACGATCAAAAACGGGTTTCACGCGAGACGGCATAGCGACCTTGCGCGCTGGCTTGCGCGGGCCGCCAGCGCGGCACGCTTACGCTGGAAGCGAGGGCGCCTACGCGCAACTTTGCGCGGGAAGCTTACGCGCAGATGTCGGCGCAGACGAGCCCGTTTTGCGCGTCGCTCAGCTGGCCATCTCGAAGACGAAGCCAGGTTCGGAACAACCTCGGACCGGGGCAAATCCCGGATCGCTGAGGTCTGGAGCTGCTGGAGGAAGTGTCAGGGGCTGCGGCCGTTGGCCCAGGACCAGACCGGCCAGGATCGATTAAGTCTGAGATGGGCAGCGGCCAGCGGGCGCAATCCTCCGCGCCGGACGAGCAGGTGCCGCGGCCGTTCCAGAGCGCTCTGGGACGCTCTGGAGCGATGTACAGTGGAGGTCAGTCCACAAGAAACCTTCCACAAGAAATCCAACCCTGAGACCCCAGGGCGCCCGTTCACTTTTCGTGTGGGAACGTCGCGCTCTCCACGGCAACACCATCGAAACCCAGGAAACCCAGGGCACCCTGGAGGCAAACAGGGCGTTTCTTTCAGAAGCCAGGCGAAGGCTGGCAAATCCGTGGCTGCCAAAACGGAGTTCCGGGAACTTGTTCTCCCTTCCGGGGGGCAGCCCGCTTATTCTTCAGCGCGCTGGGCTTCCTTCCGTGTGTGTGTGTGGGGGATTTCTCTTCCGGGAAGACCGTTTGGGCAGCCACGGATTAGCCAGCCCTCGCCCAGCTTTAAAAGTCGGGCGTGTCCCCCTACAGGGGGATGTTCGACGAAACATCGAAAATACTCCAACAATGATCCAAACCGGTTTTAAAAACAAGTCCCACAATAGTCCCCAGACTATTGACTATCGTTTTTTTAATCCCACAATAGTCCCCAGACTATTGTTTGACTATCTCTGAAGATTCCCCCTGCAGAGGGACAGGCCCGACTTGAGCCCAGCTTCCGATCCTTGGCATGGGCCTCCGCCGTACCCCAGGCCTCGGCCCCGCCCGCCCGCGCCGCCTGGGGGCGCGGCCTCTGCGCGCGCGCGTCCCCAACGGGCGGCGCACGTCGTCGGGGGCGCGGCGGCGCGGCGGCGCCCCGCGGCCGCGGCCGCGGCGCCAGGCTGCGGGGCCGAGGCGAACGCAGGCCGAGGAGGAGTCCCGTCGAGGGCACCTGGGCGGCGCGTGGGCGCGAACTTTGAGGGGGCGGTGCAGTCATCGGCCCCTTCTTTTTCCCAGGAGTGACGCATAAGGAACGATACGTGTTTTGGATCTGCAGGGCGAGAGCGAACCTCTTCCGCTGAAAGCTCATAAATAATAGGGAACGATACACGTAGCACCCCGCAGATGCGGTTAAGAGTGGGGGGGCGGTGGGGACGTCGCCAGTTTGCGAGACTGTTGAGAAGCCCGCCGCGAGCGCCAAAGTTTCACGAATTACACAACGAGCCCGCCGCAGGCGCCGATTTTTTCGTTAAACCAATGTAGGTTGGTCGCGGGTGGGTCGCGTGCGGGTCGTGGGTCGCGGGTGCAGAGGGCAAAAAAAAACACCCCCTAATAATCACCCCGACAAGCGAAGCCGTGTATAAAACGCACACAAGGAATGAATCGAACAGGGCAGGGCTGTTTAATCAACGCCCAGGGCCGTCAAAGTCAAGTGTCGGGTCCGGGTGGTTTTTCCTCCCTTGAGGGTGGGTCGCAGGGTGGGTCGCGGGTGGGTCGCGGGTGGGTCGCGGGTGGGTCGCGGGTGGGTCGCGGGTGGGTCGCGGTGTGGGTCGTGGGGTGGGTCGCGGGTGGGTCGCGGGTGGGTCGTGGGTGGGTCGCGGGGTGGGTCGCGGGGTGGGTCGCGGTGTGGGTCGCGGGGTGGGTCGCGGGTGGGTCGCGGGTGGGTCGCGGGTGGGTCGCGGGTGGGTCGCGGGTGGGTCGCGGGTGGGTCGCATATGGTGTCGCGGGGTGGTCAGACGGGTGGGTCGCGGGTGGTTCGCGGGTGGGTCTCGGGTGGGTCGCGCGGTGGGTGCGGGTGGGGTCGCGGTTGGTTTCGCTGGGTGGGTCGTCGGGGTTGGGTCGCGGGGTGGGTCGCGGGGTGGGGTCCGCGGGGTGGGTCGCGGGTGGGTCGCGGGCGGTCGCGGTGACGAACGATAACAACACAGCATCAACGACAACAACAACAACAACACAACAACACAACAACAACAAAACAACAACAACGAACAAAAACAACAACAACAAACAACAACACACGACGACGACGACGACGACGACGACACCAACAACAACACCAACAACAACACAATCAACAACACCAACACAACGACAACAAGAACGCCGATTCGCCCTTATCTGCTCGAGTGTCCAATAACGGCGTATTTCCCAAACCTCGATACGCCCTTTTCGTCTTCGATCGAACCCCTTTGGGCCTGTCTTTCTTCCCTGCAGGCTGGGCCCCGGAAAGCGGCGGAGCGGCCACGGACCGTCGGCCTGGCCAGCGGCAGCGCTGATCGGCGGGGCGGCCGCGGACCGTCAACCCGACCCCAAGAGGGACGGACAGGGGACCGACCACGACGACGACGACGACGACGACGACGTCGACGACGACGACGACGACGTCGAAGACGACGGCGACGACGAGCGAAAGCGAGAGCGAGAGAGAACGACAGCAGGGCCACGAAGGACACGAAGTAGGCCACGAAGGGCGACAGCGGGGACACGAAGGGAATGCGTATGGGGCCACGAAGAGCGCGAACGAGCGGGGGCCACGAAGGGCAGATAATGCGGGGCCACAGAAGGCAACGATGGGGCCAGTGAGGGTAGCAACTGGACCACGTAGGACAATGAGGGGGCCACAAACGGCGACAGCGGGGCCACGAAGGGCATGCACATGTGGCCACAACGGGCGCGACTCCTTGGTGCCTGGGTGTCGGGAGCGCGGCGCTTGAGCAAATTGCATGAAATTCCAACGCAAGGGCGCTATTCTTCAGTAAATTGCAAGCAACTCTCCAGCGAGAGCGCGACTCCAGAGCGCCAGGAGAGCGATTCCTGTTTAAATTGTCTGGACGCTCCAAGCGAGAGCGCGATTCCTGAATAATACGCAAGGAGTCTCAGGCGGGAGCGAGGGTTCTGGCTAAATTGTGAGGAAGTCTCAGGCGGGAGCCGTTGTTGCTGTAACCCAGAGGCCAGGAACACAGCTTGAGCATCAAGACTTCCTCTGTCAAAAAACAAGGTGCGAGCGTCGAGGGGCACACTTTGTTTGAGAAAAAACAGTATGGACCGGGGGGGATCAACAATAATTGTACTTCAGAAGTTAGAGTAAAACAAAAACAACGCAACAAGCAGAATTCTCACCACGAATATCTTATTCGGCCCTGCACCCAGGGACAATGAATCACCGTTCGGCCCCCTCACTCTGATAATATAATGAATAACGCATAAGGACTGATAAACAGCACATGCAAACCTAAGGAACGACCGAGCCCCTTTTGAGAAGTAAGCGTTCCTTATTCAAGCCGCTCACTGTAACTTGGGGGGGGAATGGGTGCTCCTTTCGGACCCCAATGGCCCCCTCTTGGGCCCTAAAGGGCCCGTCTGGCCAGGCTCGCGCCAGCCGTGGAATTGATCCACCGCTGGCGCTGGGTGGCCTGCGGTTATGTCCCCACGTCCTCCCACGGGCGAACTTTGGAAGACAAGCGAGAAATACTACAAAAATGTTCAAACACATAGATGCTTCATGTTTGAATACAAGACTAGATCCTGACTAGTTTTGAATATTCCAAAGGGATACGCCCGAATTAAGCCTGCGTCTGGCCGGTTGGCCCTGCGCTCGCTCACCCTGGCCGCGGCTGCGCTCTGCAGCAGCGCGGAGGCCTCCTAAGGTTAAGTCGGGCCTGTCCCCCTACAGGGGGATGTTCGACAACAAAAAAAAAAAAAAAAAAAAAAACAAAAATAATCCAAAAATAGTCTGGGGACTATTTGTTATTATTGTTTTGCCACTTCGGAGCATTTTCTGGGTATTTTTTATTTTTCGTCGAAAATCCCCCTGTAGGGGGACACCCCCGATATAATCCTAAGGGCGGAGGGAGAAATCGCGCGCGCTTCCGCGCCGCTCTCCTGGGCAGGAGGCCCCTGCTGGACCCGGGCATCGGCGCGCGCGCCCTCTCGGCAGAGCACGCAGGGCGTGCGCGCCCATCCCTCGACTGCACGCAAGAGTGACCCTGGGTACGAGTGACCTTTGGTGCGCGGCTTTTTGGGGGCCGCGGGGGGGGACCAACAACGAGCGCGCGAGACGCAACTATCGCACCGCAATCGGTGATCGGGGGACCCCACTGGGCCCGCACCAAAGGTCACTCCGGCGAAAGGTCACTCTTACGTGCAGTAGAATCCCAGGTTCCGCCGCGGCCCCTCCCAGGAAGGGCGCACAGTGGAGTCCAGTCCACATGACACCTTCCACCAGAAACCCAACCCTGAGACCCCAGGACGTCCAGGGATTTCTGGCGTGGGAACGTCACGCTTTCCACAGCGAGACAGTCGCGAAGAAACTCAGGGCACCCTGGAGACGAGCAGGGTGTGTCTTGGCATGGGTCTCCACTTTACGGCAGGTTCGCATCGTAAAGACTTTGGGGCTGACTTCCCTGACACCGCGTGGATCGCTCAACCCTTGCGCGATCGCAGCCCTATCAGAGCGCAAAGCGTTCAATTCAGGTTGCGCACTCAGTGCGGTCGTCGCCGAACCGGCGCGGCGAGAACCTGCGCACCGTCACGCAAACGTATGGTTTGCCTCCTCGGACTCCTCGCCCTCCGCTGGGCACACGCCGTCTGGGCACGCGCTCTCGGCCGCCGCCGCGACCCCCAGCTTCACGATGGTCAACGCCGCCTCGAAGCGAACCATGATGACGGAGGTGCTGCTCGAGTCTGTCGCCTCGGAGGCTGGAGCCGCTCGGTGCGTCCTGGGCCAAAACCCTGCAGACCTTGAGGACGAAACAGACCCGCCACCGTGCCTGCACGGAAGGGGCGTGCTTGGCCTGGGCCGGCACGGGAACGGAGAGAGCGCTTCGGGAACTTGCCGGAGAGGGCTCATAGTGCCGCTCGCTCTTGGGAGCCTTGTTGTTCAGAGCTTCTTACGTTGAGGGCTCGCACTCGGGGACAGTTGTGTTAAGAGCTTGTCACGACACTGTGAGCTCTTGGCAGCCTTGGTGTTCAGAGCTATTTGCGTCACCGCTCGCTCCTGAGAGCCTTGGTGTTGAGAGCTCATCACGTCACCGTGGGATCTTGGAAGCCGTGGTGTTCCAAGCTTTGTAGGCCACCGCTCGCTCTTCGAAGCCCTGGTGGTCAGAGCTCCTCAGAGCACCGTTCGCTCTTGGGAGCCTTGGTGTTAAGAGCTTGTCACGTCACCGTGCGCTCTTGGGAGCCTTGGAGAATCAGAGATGTGCACGCTCCCGCTCGCCGCTCGCTCTAGAGTTAGGTCGGGCATGTCCTCCTGCCGAGTGATTTGGGACGAAAAATAAAAAATTGTCAAAACATGTTCAAAAAAAGTGATGAATGATGGAAAAATCGTGCCCAGACTATTTTGTGACTATTTTTGAATATTCTTCCTGTAGACCGCTCGCTCTCTGCGTGTAAAAGCTTTTTGCGTCACCGCTCGCTCATTGGAGCCCTGGTGTTCAAGACTTGTTTACATCACCTTTCGCTGTTGGGAGCCCTGGTGTTACGAGCTTGTCACGTGAGCGCATGGGAGCCCATCTCATTTGGCGCCTCCGGGCCTCCTTGGGGGCCCTGTTGGGGCCCTTTGGGATCCTCTTGGGGCCCTTTTGGGCCGTCCTGGAGCAAGGACGAACAGCAGCAGCAAGAACTGGAGTGGAGGGAGCGGGAGGAGCAGGATGATCGGGCCGGGCGAAAGGGGGGGATAGCGAAGGGGGGGGCTTGAGAATCAGCTCGCGTAGCTGATATTTCCCCGGCGCCTCCCGGCGCCGGGAGGCGCCCATGTATCGAGGAATGGGCCCGGCGGCGGGGCCGAAACCAGCTGCATGCAGCAGATGTCGTAACCCCCCCCTTGCCCTATCCCCCCCTCTCGTTCGGCCAGAGATGACCAGGGGAAGGCGGAGGAGGGGAAAGAGGAGGAGGAGGAGGATAAGAAGGAGGAGGAGGAGGAGGAGGAGGATAAGGAGGAGGAGGAGGAGGAGGAGGAGGAGGAGGAGGAGGAGGAGGGGGAGGAGGAGTGGGGGAGGAGGAGGAGGAGGAGGAGGAGGAGGAGGAGGAGTAGAGGAGGAGGAGGAGCTGGAGGAGGAGGAGGAGGAGGAGGAGGAGGGGAGGAGGAGGAGGAGGAGGAGGAGGAGGGGGATGAGGAGGGGAAAGGAGAGGGGCGACGACGGCGAGGAAGCGCTCGGATCCTGAAGAGGGGCCCGCGCGGGGGCGAAAAAGTGCCATTCTGAGCGGCGGGCGCAGTGCGCCGATCCCCGCGAGGCCCGCACTGCAGCGGCAGCACCGTGGAAGCCATCGAAAACGATGGCAAAGTAGAGAGGATGAGGAGGTTGAAGGAGGATGAGGAGGTTGTTGGAGGAGGAGGTTGAAGGAGGATGGAGGAGGAGGTTGGAGGAGGAGGTTGAAGGAGGAGGAGGAGGAGAAGGTTGAAGGAGGAGGAGGTTGGAGGAGGAGGTTGGAGGAGGAGAAGAGGAGGAGGAAGAGGAGGCGGTTGGAGGAGGAAGGAGGAGGGAGGTTGGAGAGGAGGAGGAGGAGGAGGAAGAGGAGGAGGTTGGAGGAGGAGGTTGGAGGAGGAGGAGGAGGACGACGACGACGACGAGTCGCCCTGTCGTCCTCGTCTCGCCCTCCTGCCCCCCCGCGGGCCCGCGCCGCCCAGCCGCGCGGGGAGACGACGGGGGGGAGGCCAGAGGCGAGGCCTGCCGCGGCCCCCTCGGCGGCCGGGGGGCCCCAGGGCGCCGCCGAGCACGAGCGGGGGGACGAGGACACGAAACGAAGGCTGGGCTTGAGCAGGGACGGGCCGTCCCGGCATTTCTAGAGTCGGGCCGGGCGAAAGGGGGGGACAGGGGGCCACATGCGAACCCTACCCCTACCCCCCCCCACGATTCCTGAGGGGAAGGCTGGGGTTCGCTTCGCTCGAGAGCTCCCGAACGGAGTGAACCCCACCCTTCCCCTCTGAAATCGTGGGGGGTAGGGGTAGGGTTCGCGTGAGGCCCCCTAGAGGACACGAGACGAAGGCTGGGCTTGAGCAGGGACCGACCGTCCCGGCATTTCCAGAGTCGGGCCGGGCGAAACGGAGCGATAGCAAAGGGGGGGGGTGAGAATCAGCTCGCGCAGCTGATTCTCCTGGCGCCTCCCGGCGCCAGAGGCGCCCATGTATCGAGGAACGGGCCCCGCGGAGGGGCCGGAACCAGCTGCATGCAGCAGATGTCGTAACCTCCCCTTTCCCTATCCCCCCCGTTTCGTCCGGCCTCATATAGGACTACCACGACATGTTCGTAGAACCCAACAATATTCTGAGGACAAAAGCCAGGTTCTCAGAACATAAGCCCGGGGTGCTAAAACAAGACAGTCCCGGCCAAAAATGTTCTGAAAACATCTCACGCAGACCACAAAAGATTCTTAGAACACTCTTTGGTAGGCCGATAGGCGAGCCAGGACGTTTCGCCACTGCTTGGTGGATGGGGACAAAATCGGAGGGCAGATCGGAAATCTGTGCGAGCTGGCTCCTGGTGAGCGTTTCCTACTTCGGCGTCTCGGCACCGGGCGGAAGGGGGGGGGAGGAAGGGGGGGGGGTCTGGCTCCAGACCTCTGGCTCCAGTGCGACTGTCTACAAGAGCGCTGCCTCTGCGGGACCCCACCAGCTCGAAACAAGCGCCAAAAAACAGCCAAGATCTACTCCATGGGGGGGACGGGGGGGGGGCCCGCGCCGATCGGCCAAACAATGAATCGAATCGAATCGGAGGAATCAATACGAGCCCGGCCCTGGTCGCCTCCCAGCAGCGCGCGGAGCACACCGCGCGCGCGGTGTCTGCCCCGGCGCCGAGAAGGCGAAGCGAGCGACCTGCGCCGCAGGACCCGAGCCTAAACGGCTCAGCAGCTGCGGCTGGAGCGGCAGGACGACGACGCCGACGCCGACGCCGCCGACGCCTCCACCGACGACGCCGCTGCCGACGACGCCGCCGCCGACGCCTCCGACGCCGACTGCGACACGGGCATTAACGTCGGCGACGACGCCGACGCTGACGGCGACACTGGCACCGACGACGCCAACGCCGACGAAGCTGGCGTAGACGACGCCGGCGTCGACGACGCCAGCGCCGTCGACGCCGCCGCCGGCGGCGTGCGCGGGGCAACCGCTGCACAGCACGAGGCCCTGAACCTCCCTTGCCGCCCTGCTGCCCAGGCATCCGGCGCTGCAACTTTCGATGCGTAGGCCCCTGGGGCTCTGGACCTGTTCCCTGGGGCCGGTCTTGCATCCCGGATCGCCTTCTGACGGTGCTGAGGCCCGTCGAGGGCCCCGAGACGCCGCAAACCGGCCGCTCCGGCTTGTCGGGGCCTCGGATCTCTGGGTT